ATTACTTTATATTAAAAAAGAAAAAAGCTCTAGTACACCGCATGTTGTATGTTTGACAAGAGTTTTATAAACAAATGCATTAATTGTAGTGAAGGTTGTGGTATTTTTACCACAATTTGTTTTGCTAAATTTCAACTAATATATTTATTTTCAAAGCAAACTGAAAAGAAACTCCTGATCTCAGCTCCATGTGTGTATGTGATGAATATTTCTGCAGTGTGTCAACACCCACAGGGTCCTGGGCCCCTTCCTAGAACTAGTGGCTGACCAACTACCAATAACTGAAGGCAAGCTAGGAGATGGTGAGAGTTCCCAGTATGCGGTTCCCACCATAGCTTCTCTCAAATTATCTTCATCTACAATCAAACATTTCAAAATAAAATCCCAATTTGAAGAGGTTGCTTAAAGTCTACCTAAGATAAGCCTAGGCTCAGAGATTGCTGAAATACAATGTGAACTTTATTATTATTATTATTGTTGTTGTTGTTGTTGTTGTTGTTGAAATATAGATAGCACATTTGCCAATTCAACATTTTTCACATAAACAACTGAGTGAGATCAATTATATCAACCATGTTATGTAACCATAGACTTTTTTTTCTTGGACTCACTTCTACCCTAAAATGTCACTGTAGCCCCAGGAATCTAGAAACTTGGGGATGCTCTGAGACCTTGGGGCCCAGGAGAGACAATCTTCAACTTTCCTCTCACATTTGGCTATAGATGATACAACAGCAGAAAATCTGTCAAGAGACTAGGCACATCCAGACAAAATTTTACTTTAAGATCTTTACATAACGGCATAGACAAATTTCATTTTGAATGAGAAGCAATATAAGAGAATAATAATAATAATACAAGTGATGAAATTTCATATCAATTAAAAATGTATCAAACTAGTTAGTGAACTGTCTTATTGTGATTCTCATCATATTAAATTACCACCACCAGTACTAACACCAACCCTGCTCTGCTCTGGCCTAATCCCCACACATATAAATATCTGTGTGAAAATAATTCCACCTGTACCTCACACAAGACTGTCCTTTAAAATAAATGCATTGTTAATGATATTAATAGGGGTTGCCATATATTACATTATCATCCCTTTGACTATAAGCAATAACAATAAATAGCAAAAGTTATCATATAAATGGGTAAATCACCCACCCAAGTTCAAACAGCAAGCAGTAGAACTGAGTTTCAAACTCAACTGTTAAGATTCCAGAGTCTCCAAACTTTCTGCTCTTCCTGATTACAGGAGGGAAGGATGACAACAGCAAAAGTAGCTCTCTGCTAAGATCTAGGAACTTGCAATATAGTCCCGCTGTTAACTGAAGTTTTTTGTTTTTTGGGTTTTTTTGCCTCCAGTTTTCTCATAGGTAAAACAGAGGATTAGACAGTATGAATTTTAAGTTACTTTTCAGTTCTAATAACAAGTTAATGTATTTATTATATCTCTGTTTATAAAGTATGTTTGCATTCACTTCCTCATTTGAATACTTCTATGGTGGTAAAACTTAAATATTTTATTTATTTGCCACTTTTTTACTTTTTTGGTCAAGAAGAATAGACATAATTCAATATGAACATTGTAACAAATTAATTTCATGTTTTAATCCCAATTATTCCTTATCTAACACAGAAATCAAAGCTGAGTTCTATACTGTCACCGAAAAATGCTGCCTCAAGAACAGACAGCAATCTGCAGAAAGACAACCACATCTACGGAGGGGGCCCCACCCACACAGGTCTGAGATAGCAGATCAGACAGTTTTAACCGCCCTCTTTTCAACTATTTTACACACTTTTCTCAGGACTCTGAGGGTTCTAAAAACATCAGCATAGCACCCATAAAAGTCTTTTAGATTGTATTCCTTAAAACATCCCTTCATCATTAAAGGGTGCTTTTCAATTGAAAAAGCAAGAAAGTCTAAAAGTCTAATACTTAAATTCATGCTTGTACAACATAAGGCACACTGCAATAAAATTAAAATGCTATGCTCTTTATAGCAATATTAACTCATGAATATTTTCAAAATATGCCAGAAGTTTCATTTTGATAATGGAAACAATAAAATACATTCCTAATTACACTTATTAAGTAAGGTCTCCTGATGTGCTCCTTCATCGGATTTATGGAAAAGTAAAAAACGTAAGCAGTGATATATAAAAACAATAAGTAACCTGTAACCAAATAAAAACTGATTTCAAACCTTGACTTTAGTTGGCTCAGAACTTCTTTCTATTGCTTTTCTAATCTATAATTTTTAGAAACTCAGGATTGGATACAAATTTCAATATCCAAGGACCATACCCTTTGTCTGATTAAATTGGAAAAATTATACTTCACCCAAGAGTGGTCTTAACTGATTCTTAAAAACAATAAAGAGATTTTAAAAACATATTTTTTGGCCTCAAAAAATTTAGCCTTTGTCTAAATAGCATACACCATTAAATATGTGTATAATAATTCAATTTCAATTTACTATATAACTGGTTTGGTTAAAAGAATTTCAGCCTAAATTCTTATTTACTGAGGATTTAACTAGAAGTTCTATCTTCCTAGCAATTCTTACTGTATCAGCAATAAGGCACATTAACAAAGCTCAGTAATTAACCACACTAGATTCACACTATACATTCACTTGTCTTTGTATCTTTCTAGAATATTATTATTTTTAACTTTAAATTGTATTCACATGAAATAATTACGAAAAAGAAGGAAAAATTAAAACAAAAACTAAACGCAGCAAAAAAGAGACAAATAACCCAATCAAAATATGGGCAAAGGACTTGAATAGACATTTCTCCAAAGAAGATATACGAAGAGACAATAAGATTAAAAAAAGCTCAACACCACTAGTTATTAGGGAAATGCAAATCAAAACCACAATGAGATACGACTTTATACCCACTTGAATGGCTGTTATCAAAAACATGAAAATATAAAATGTAGGTAAGGATGTGGAGAAATTGGAACCCTCATGCACTGCTGGTTCCTCAAAAAGTCAAACATAGAATTACCATGCGAACCAGCAATTTCACACCTGGGTATATACTCCAAAGAACTGACAGCAGGGAAGCAAACAGATACTTGTACACCAATGTTTACTGCAGTATTACTCACAATAGCCAAAAGCTAGAAACAACCCAAGTGTCGTCAACAGGTAAATGGATAAACAAAAAATGGTATACATGTAGAATGGAGTACTATTCCAGCACAAAAAGGAATAAAGTTGTAATACATGTGCAACATGGATGACCCTTGAAAATATACTAAATGAAATACATCAGACACAAAAGGACATATGATCCCGTTACATGCCAAATGCATACAGACAGAAAGTAGATTCTTGGCTACCATGCACTGGGGGTAGTACAAACTTTCTGTTTGAGGTGATAGAAAAGTTTTAGCAACATAATGGTGATAGCTGCACAACATGGTGAATGTGATTAATGCCACTGGATTGTACATTTGAAAATGGTTAAACTGGCAATTTTTATGTTGCTTATATTTTATCACATTAAACAAAAACCTAACAGCAAGTTTCTAGTACTTAGATGAAATTCTTATTATAATTACATTGATTAATAGGGTCACTATGAGTCGGAGTCGACTCAACAGCAATGTTTTTTTTATATATTTTTTTTATTGTATTTTAGATGAAGGTTTATAGAACAAATAGTTTCTCATTAAACAGTCAGTACACATATTGTTCTATGACATTGGTTAACAACCCCACGACATGTCAACACTCTCCCTTCTCGACCTTGGAGGACCCTTTTTATTTTTGGTGAAAATATACATAGCCAAAGTTACACCATTTCAAAAGTTTCTACATTCAGTGACATCAATTACATTCTTCCCATTTTGCTGCTATTCTCACTAACCTTTTCCAAATTATTCCATCACCATTATCTTCAACTCACTGCCCCCAGGCTTCCCATCAAACCTTTTAAGTTGCTATTGTCAATTTGATCTCACATAGATAATTCTTTTTTTTTTTTTTCCTGTACCTTAGATGAAGGTTTGCAGAACAAATAGTTTCTCATTAAACAGTACACATATTGCCCTATGACAATGGTTAACAAAGTCACGACATGTCAACACTGTCCCTTCTGAACCTTGGGTTCCCTATCACTAGCTTTCTTGTACCCTCCTGCCTACTAGTCTTTGTCCCTGGACTGCTGTGCCTCATTAGTCCCGTTTTGTTTTATGAAGATGTCCAATCCCCGGCTGAACGGTGAACTTCAGGAGTGACTTCACCACTGAGCTAAAAGGCTGTCCGGGGGCCATACTCTAGGGGTTTCTCCAGTCTGTCAGGCCAGTAAATCTAGTCTTTTTCTTGTGAGTTAGAATTTTGATCTACATCCTTTTCCAGCTCTGTCTGGGACCCTCTATTGTGATCCAGGTCACAGCAGTCAGCGGTGGTAGCCGGACACCATCTAGCCGTACTGGACTCAGTCTGGTGGAGGCCATGGTAGCTGTGATCCATTAGCTCTCTGGACTAATCTTTTCCTTGTATTCTGTCCTCTTCATTCTCGCTTGCTCCCGAAGGGGTGAGACCAGTGGAGTATCTTAGGTGGCTGCTCACAGGCTTTAAAGACCCCAGACGCTACTCACCAAGGTAGAATGTAGAACATTGTCTTTATAAACTGTGTTATGCCAATTGAGCTAGATATTCCCCAACACCATGGTCCCCACAGCCCTCTGCCCAGCAATTCATTCCCTCAGGGAGTTTGGATGTGTCTGTGGAGCTTCCACGATCTTTCCTTGTACAAGCTGTGCTGGCTTCCCCAGTATTGTGTACTGTCTTACCCTTCACCAAAATTACCACTTATCTATTGTCTGTTTAGTATTTCCCCCTCACCCCTCCCATCCCTCGTAACCAACAAAGATTGGGCAATGGTTTTTTTTTTTAGGTATAATTGTAACAAAACTAAACTTTAACAAAATATAAAAACCAAATTGTGCATATATAAAGTCTCTTATTTACCTGACATTGCCCTTTGTGTTTCTGAGAACTGTTGCAGCAAAATTCTGTGTGACACCCACCAAGCTGATTCCATCCACTTCCACAATCTGGTCATTGACTTGTATTCTATGGGAGAAAAAAAAAGTAAAAATTACCCACAGTTAATCTTTCTGATAGTACTTTAACCTTTCCAATGAATAAGTTGACAAAATGTTTAATTTTTAAAATTTCTCTAAAATTTATCTTTTATATACAAGCTCCAGATACAAACTCCAGATCTTAGTCCTAAGCTTAATGTTTCTGAAAGATGGTTTTGAAGGACAGAAATAAATATAACAGTAAATGGAGAGATTCAGTTAACCAAATACCCATAGTTCTCTCACAAAGAATTAATATCTACTAGCCCTGGCAGCGCAGTGGTGAAGTGCTTGGCTACTAACTGAAAGGTCGGCAGTTCAAACCCACCAGCTGCTCTGCAGGAGAAAGATGTGGCAGTCCGCTTCCCTAAAGATTTCAGCCTTGGAAACCCTATGGGGCAATTCTACTCTGTCCTATAGGGTTGCTATGAGTTGGAATCAACTAGATAGCAGTGGGTTTCGTTTTTAATGTATGACATACTTACATCATATTTTGTCCTGAATACATTAAATAAAACATAACAGATCCATCAGATACCTGTTGGCCTTAATTTCCAGTTCCTCACCCTACTTCTTCTTTTCAAGGAATACCATCACCAGGAATTGCAGGAAATAAATTCTTCCTATTCAAGTTGTATACTTTAAATATGTAATGCTTGTAAATATAGAGACATAGATAAATACATACATATATGTATGCAGACCCCCCATGTGTCTGTCAGTTTGTTGTACTGTGGGGGCTTGCGTGTTGCTATGATGCTGGAAGCTATGCCGCTGGTACTGAGATACCAGCAGGGTCACCCATTGCAGACAGGTTGCAGCTGAGCTTCCAGACTAAGACAGACTAGGAAGAAGGACTTGGCAGTCTACTTCTGAAAAGAATTAGCCAGTGCAAACCTTATGAAGAGCAGCAGAACACTGGCTGATGAAAGTGCTGGAAGATGAGCCCCCCAGGTTGCAAGGCACTTAAAAGACAACTGGGGAAGAGCTGCCTCCTTGAAGCTGAGTTGAGTCAAGCTTTCGGGGCCTTCATTTGCTGATGTGGCATGACTCAAAATGAGAAGAAACAGCTGCAAACATCCATTGATAATCGGAGCATGGAATGTATGAAGTATGAATCCAGGAAAATTTGAAATCATCAAAAATGAAATGGAACGCATAAACATCAATATCCTAGGCATTAGTGAGCTGAAATGGACTGGTATTGGCCATTTTGAATCAGATAATCATATGGTCTACTATGCAGGGAATGACAACTTAAAGAGGAATAGCGTTGCATTCATCATCAAAAATAACATTTCAAGATCCATCCTGAAGTACAATGCTATCAGTGATAGGATAATATCCATATGCCTACAAGGAAGACCAGTTAATAGGATTATTATTCAAATTTATGCACCAACCACTAACGCCAAAGATGAGGAAATTGAAGATTTTTACCAGCTTCTGCAGTCTGAAATTGAATGAACATGCAATCGGGATGCAGTGATAACTACTAGTGATCAGAATGCGAAAGTTGGAAACAAAGAAGGAACAGTAGTTCAAAAATATGGCCTTGGCAATAGAAACGATGCTGGAGATCGCATGATAGAATTTTGCAAGACCAACGACTTCTTCATTGCAAATACCTTTTTTCATCAACATAAATGGTGCTTATACACATGGACCTCGCCAGATGGAATACAGAGGGATCAAATCGACTACAAATGTGGAAAAAGATGATGGAAAAGCTCAATATCATCACAACAAGGCCAGGGGCCAACTGCGGAACAGACCATCCATTGCTCATACACAAGTTTAAGCTGAAGCTGAAAATTAGAAGCAGCCCACAAGAGCCAAAGTACGACCTTGAGTATATCCCACCTGAATTTAGAGACTAACTCAAGAATAGATTTGACAGGTTGAACACTAATGACTGAAGACCAGACGAGTTGTGGAATGACATCAAGGACAGCATACATGAAGAAAGCAAGAGGTCATTAAAAAGACAGGAAAGAAAGAAAAGACCAAAATGGATGTCAGAAGAGACTCTGAAACTTGCTCTTGAACATTGAGTAGCTAAAGCAAAAGGAAGAAATGATGAAGTAAAATAGGTGAACAGAAGATTTCAAAGGGCAGCTTGAGAAGACAAAGTAAATTATGATAATGACATGTGCAAAGAGCTGGAGATAGAAAACCAAAAGGGAAGAACACGCTCGGCATTTCTCAAGCTGAGAGAACTGAAGAAAAAATTCAAGTCTTGAGTTGCCATAGTGAAGGATTCTATGGTGAAAGTATTAAACGACGCAGAAGGCATCAAAAGGTAGCATATGATCAGGAACCGATGGCACTGAAGGAAGAAGTCCAAGCTGCACTGAAGGCATTGGTGAAAACAAGGCTGCAGGAATTGATGGAATACCAATTCAGATGTTTCAACGAACGGATACTTGTAATGCTTGTAAATATAAGCATGAGTGCTGGAAGTGATCACCCGTTTATGCCAAGGAATTTGGAAGACAGCTACCTGGCCAACCGACTGGAAGGGATACATATTTATGCCTATTCCCAAGAAACCTGATCCAACCTAATGCAGAAATTATCAAACAATATCATTAATTTCATACATAAGTAAAATTTTGCTGAAGATCATTCAACAGGGGTTGTGACAGTACATCAACAGGGAACTGCCAGAAATTTAGGCTAGATTCAGAAGAGGATGTAGAACCAGGGATATCATTGCTGATGTCAGATGGGTCCTGGCTGAAAACAGAGAATACCAGAAAGATGTTTACCTGTGTTTTATTGACTACACTAAGGCATTCGACTGTGTGGATCATAACAGACTATGGATAACATTGCGAAGAATGGGTATTCCAGAACGCTTACCTGTGCTCATGAGGAACCTGTACATGGATCAAGAGGCAGTTGTTCAGACAGAACAAGGAGATACTGCATGGTTTAAAGTCAGCAAAGGTCTGTGTTAGGGTTGTATCCTTCACCACACCTATTCAATCTGTATGCTGAGCAAATAATGCAAGAAGCTGGACTATATGAAGAAGAATAGGGCATTAGGACTGGAGGAAGACTCATTAACAAACTGCAATATGCAGATGACACAACCTCGCTTGCTGAAAGTGAAGAGGACTTGAAGCACCTATTGATGAAGATCAAAGACCACAGCCTTCAGTATGGATTACAGCTTTACAGAAAGAAAACAAAAATCCTCACAACTGGACCGATAAGCAACATCATGATAAATAGAGAAAAGACTGAAGTTGTGAAGGATTTCATTTTACTTGGATCCACAATCAACACCCATGGAAGCAGAAGTCAAGAAATCAAAAGACACATTGCATTGGGCAAATCTGGTGCAACAGACCTCTTTAAAGTGTTGAAAAGCAAAGATGTCACCTTGAAGACTAAGATACGCCTGACCTAACCCATTTTCAATCGCATCTTATGCATGTGAAAGCTGGACAATGAATAAGGAAGATCAAAAAAGAGCTGACACCTTTGAATTGTGGTGTGGTGTTAGCGAAGAATATTGAATATAGAATGGACTTCCAAAAGAACAAACAAATCGATCTTGGAAGAAGTACAACTAGAATGCTCCTCAGAGGCAAGAATGGCCAGACTACATCTTACATAGTTTGGACACGTTGTCAGGAGGGATCAGTCCTTGGAGAAGGACATCATGTTTGGTAAAATACAGGGTCAGCAAAAAAGAGGAAGACTGTCAACGAGATGAATTGACACAGTGGCTGCGACAATGGGCTCAAGTATAACGATTGTGGGCATGGATCAGGACCGGACAGTGTTTCGTTCTGTAGTACATAGGGTTGCTATGAGTCGGAACTGATTTGACGGCACCTAACAACAACAAAAACAACAACATATATGTAGACGGACAGTCACATACATACTCATGTGGGGGTTTGTGTGTGTATATTTAAGAGTAATATATAGTATCAGTGCTTAGTGGATACTTTTAAATTAACATATATTTTGTTTTATATGTGCCATTTTTATTCTTCATAATGAAGTGTTTCAAACATGGAGAAATGTAGAAAGGATAAGATAATAAGCAATCATGTACCTAACATTCGACTCAATCGAATTTTAAGACTGTGCAATATTTTAGTAAGATTTTTTTCTAAAGAAATACAATTACCAGAAAGTTAAAGTCCCTTTATTATTTGTCTCTAATCCTAGTCCCCAGACATAATCATCATACTAATTTCCGTGTCTAGTATTTCTATTGATTTTCTGAAATAGAAATAATATGTATGCATTCATAGGCATAATATGTATACATTTGTCGTTGTCTTAGTCATCTAGTGCTGCTGTAACAGAAACACCACAAGTGGATGGCTTTAACAAAGAAAAATTTATTCTCTCACAGTTTAGTAGGCTACAAGTCCAAATTCAGGGCATCAGCTTCAGGGGAAGGCTTTCTGTGTCGGCTCTGGAGGAAGGTCCATGTCATCAATCTTCTCTTGGTCTATGAGCTTCTCTGCGCAGGAACCTCAGGTCCAAAGGATTGCACTCTGTTCCTGGCACTGCTTTCTTAGTGGTATGAGCTTCCCATGTCTCTCTGCTCACTTCTCTCCTTCATATCTCAAAAGAGACTGGCTTAAGACACTATCTTATCTTGTAGACCTCATCAATATAACTGCTGCTAATCCATCTTATTACATCATAGTGATAGAATATACAACACATAGGGAAATCACATCAGATAGCAAAATGGTAGACAATCATAATACTGGGAATCATGACCAAGCCAGGTTGACAGATATTTTGGGGGGACACAATTCATATCCATGACAGCCATGTTTTCAAACTTATGTAGTATACCTCTCTCTTTCTGCCATTTAGGTGGCTTCATTCCCATTATATCGGAGATTTATTCATGGCCATAAATGCAATTCTAGGTAATTCTTTTAACAACTGTGTAGTATTACCTTTTATGAATAAAATAAAGCACATTTACTCATTATTTCACAGATG